TCTTACGTCATGCATTCACTTTGAAGGCACTATGTACAATTTTTCCAACATTATCTTCTCGGTTTTCATAATTACTATGAAGCCTCGGCTGTCTTCGCCACATTTTGTATCGAAGTAGTATTGAAGATGGCTTTTGTGCTACTAACTGAATTTCATGAGTGTTTAAGCTCGCACTTTCATGCGTGCTACCCCATGCACATAATTACATGAACTTTGCTAAACTATATTTTACTAAAGCGTGGGAACGATATCATGAAACTCTTTCCTGCATTTCGTTAGATTAATACTGCTATGATGCTCTACCAATACTGATTCAATTTTGCTGTTTGGGCCATAACTTGAATCTATGTTCTTGAAATCACTGTTTGAAGAAGCAGGTACTCCTAACAGTGAACCATTATTAGGTGAAGAGAAATAATAATCTCAGAGACTTTGAACGCAGATTCATATTCCTTCAAATCTAGAACGCACACGAAGATAAATTTTGACTTTCAAAAACTATCTTACATGCCAGTTTTTTTCAATAAGTTTACATCCCAAGCAAAAACATTTCCAAACTCAGTATAAAGTATATGACACAAATTTCGTGTGCTCTTCTGATACCTGGTCCTTCTAGTTATAGAAACTGCTATCGTGACACCTTACTTATGATATGGAACGTCTCAAATGAGCCCGTACAACACAAACCTCTTCCCTGTGTCAATACTGCAGTCTCAGACCAAGTTCCGTATCCTCGTTAAGTGTGTTGCTGTGAAAATTTTCGTTGGATGGCTCTGGACAGACCACTGTTTCTTTTTGTTCCTATTTATTCCCTTTCCCGACTTCGTCTACTCTTGCTAGGAGGCTTTTTCCTGAATGGATTTAGAGAAACAAATTCTGCTAGATAAAAGCTCAATTTCGACAGCACCGGTTTTTATGACAAAACGCAATCTTTTATCGTAATGATTGCAGGAGTTTATAATCCCAATTAACGCCAATGAGTACATATCTTTGTTACCTTATTTTGCAAACTGACTATCTAGCTGAAGCGAAGATCGTTATACACTTTATAAGTTTCAAGAAGATTCGCATTATAAATTTTCTTCTTTAGAGAAAGTTCACTTTAAGCTACTCTGTGGTACAAATGATTGATGAATGAAAATTCATACACTTCCATACTATTTATTGAAGCATGGGATGATTTTGCATATAATTTGCAAGCGCTAGATGATAGTCATGCGCAAATCACCATAAAATGTAGTTCGAGGTTACATGGTCTACAAAGTATAGTTACAAATCAAAGCTACAATTTCTATTGTCATACTTAAGCATATTTAACATGACCTTTGCTTTCCAAGTTGCTATCAGTTTGAATACTGCTTATGACTAAATCATGTAGCGTAAAATATGTAGTATCTATATTAAATGGAAAGGTTAGGACTCAAGCCATAAAGAGCAAAAAAGTAGCTGCGTTTCAAATCACAATCTAAATTTTGCCATCTCGTTGTATTGCAGCTTTACAGAACGATTATATGGACCATTCTCGGTTGTCAATACAAAATCACATCCTTGATTTTGAATCATATCGTCTTTCTCTCAGGCTCGTTTCCACAATAATGTTATTTCCTATCGAGTCAAAAGCCTTTCTTTGTCATTCCTCAGGGTACACTCACCTCGTGACCTAGATTCGCCAGTTTAGTTCCTCACCTGTCAGATTAGCAAGAAACTTTTTCATTGTAATACTGATCGGCTTTTGGAGATGTTTTCTGATAGTGACTGCGATACGTTAGATAGGATTACGGCACTTTTAAGGGGTTGTGGCAGCACATCATATTTTCTGGAGATTATTTTGAGGGTTTTTTGTGGAAATAGATGTGTTTTGTCACAATACCAGAATGGTGACACTGCGGGTGACAGTCAGTCCTTGACGGACTTTTTCTGTGCATTCTATACTGAAGGTACTTGGTGACACCATTATACTATGCGCTCTATGCATGTCATGTTCTAGTATCTATCTTGCAATATCTGCGCTTAGCGGTCTGTGTAGTGCAAAGTTTCTAGAATATGAATATTTTCTTAAATTACTGTAGGATAAGTCGGGTAATTTTTCATGAACTTGTTGGTATTATCTGATGTTAGCTGTCAGAATGGGACAAATCCCCATGAACTTGTTGGTATTATTGGATATCAGTAGCTTAAAAAGTATGCGATAAGCCTACAGTGGCGGTTCCAGGATTTCCGTCTGGGAGGGGGGAGAGGCGGCGAAAAAATTTTTCAAAGGAAGGTGCCTGGTGTCAGCCACGCACTCCGAAAAATTTTTAGGGGTGTTTCTTAAATTTTTGCGTGTGCCCAACCCCTAAAATCTGGAATAAAGGGGCGTGGCGCCAGCCACTTCCCCGAAAAAATTTTCTTACATGGCTATTTTGAATTTTTAAAAAATTCTAAAAAGTATTTTAATTGTTTTCAAAAATAAACAGACACTTGCACATTTTCATAACCCACGTAAGTAAATTTCAAAAATTTTGCGCACATTCTCGAGGGGGGGGGGGTCCCTCGGTCTGCAGCTGGAAGCTTGGGATATGTGTCCAATGCACAGGCGGCTTGAAAGTCACTTGTTTTCTCGTGAACTTTCTAATGGCTTTTGGGGGAGGAGGAGGGGGGGGGGAGGGGGGAGAGGAGGGAATGGGGCGCTGAGGTATTCTAGACAGAAGAATTAAGTTTATTATTTCTACAGTTTCGCAGCTGTAGTCGTAATATGTATATTAAAGAAGGCAAAGTCTTTTTCATTCATTAAATTTTTGTAGATTTACTTCTACTACTTGTGAGCAGTCAGCCGAAAGTTTTCAATTTGGAGCTGATTAGACCTTCTGAAGAATTTATCCAGGCTGGGGACACCTTCGAATTATCGCAGTGGCTTTACTGTATAGTATCAGCTATTCATTGAGGAGCGTCGATATCAAACATTTTGGTTTTTTCTTACCTGTTTTCTAATATTTCGGTCACCAGTGTCAATAGAAAATCAATACAGATTATTCAAAATCCAGTCATCATCGACAAAACCCTTCCAAAGCAGATTATTCTTAATCAGCATTTCTCTTCAAGGAACTAAATCGTATGGTGCCATTGAGATAAATCATTTGATACGCATTTACCCCATTTATTGCTGCATTGCACAAACGGGTCAAGTTTGCTCACTTTCAGTTTTTGATAGCCAACTCTCGCCTTTACATACGAATTCTTCATTCAAGTATTCATAAATAATCAGTTTGGTTTCGAGAGTTATACTTTTGTGACAATTTTAGAACTTCTAATAAGTCCGTGTCCAGCAGTACAATAATACAAGGCCTCAGGTTGTACGTTACATTTTGAGCTTGAATTAATACATCATGGTACCAAGTATGAAATAATTTGATCGGGCTGTTCGTTCTTTTGGCTGTACTAAGTATTTATTGCCATAGTTTCAAGGCACTTTTGGCGGATATATTATTATTTTAGAATTTTCAAAATTATTCTTAGCTTGCTGCTTGACTGCATCATGTAGCTACTAGTCATATAAGAATGGCTAGTTGCTTGTATTTTGTTATATGGAAATGTGCGCATCTCTTCAAGTTTTCAGAAAAAAACTGACTCCAAAATATTGCCTCTGTTCTATTGCCTCATTGAGTATCTCACGTAAATTTTGCTGTCTAACCCATATACTGAATCGAATCTGTTGCCTGGGAACCATGATGTTCCATTGGCGATCATTTCACTATACATCGTCTGCTAATCAAATTTTCTCTTTTGGTTTCAACCATGAGAACACCATCCATATGTTTTTTGGAGACCATTTTGCAGAGCTTTTTCTACTCGAACAATTTGTGACGTCCGTATCGCTACTGTTGATTGTTGCGGTAGCCTAAGAAACGTCATTATCTTCTTTTAAATTTGATACGTGTTAGACAGAACCTGCTGGGATTCTGGACGAGCGGCTTAGGGATCGTTCAGATCGCGCCAGAATCTGCCCAAACCCGCCCAAATACGTCCGAATCCGCCCGAACCCGCCTGAACGCCGGAACTGCTAAAGCGCAGCGGATATGCGGCAAATTGGCATACTGGAGCACGCGTGGAATACTGCGCGCGTAGTGCATATATCTTATTGTTAGTCACACGTAGCTCGACGTTAATACCGACCTTCTTTTGTAACTACTCCGATATTAGAAGGATCAATCGCACGCGTGCTCCAACTTGCCAATTTGCATGCAACCTGCTGCGCTTTGGCAGTTCAGGTGGGTTCGGATGCATTTGGGCGGGTTTGGGCGTTTGGACATACTCGGGCGGATTCGGACGTATTCGGGCGGGTTTGGGCGGGTTCTGGCGCGGTCTGAACGATCCCTTAAAAGAAGTTGGCGAAAACAGCTTTAGCATGCTGCGTCGAATGAAAAGTTGTACCTTAAATTACTCATCTATTCGATCAACTAAGCAGAGAAAATTTTCACGATTTTCTGCCAATGATTTTTCTTACATATCTGCTGCTGCACTCAACATGTCTCAAGTAATTCTATGACGCTCTTGTGTTTGCCGTCTTCATACATATCAAACAGCTATTGCATACATACATCTACTTAATCGTGAAATCTTTAAAGGAAGCATTGCCTAGAACGAGATTTTTTGAGTCGAAGTTTTTTTTTCAGGTTTTTCAGATTTGTCTACGTGTCCGCACAGCCTCTCGTCAAATAAAATTTACTCCAACTAAAATAATAGGAAAAAATGATTTTGCGTAATTATTCCTTTCTAGAACTTGTTTTGGTAACATTTCTGACGGAAAATTTTTTAGAGTAACTCTCCGTATAACTTTCTTGAATCTTTGAAATGCTGTTTTATTTTGAAGAATATATTAATCATAATCATGCAGCAGACACATACTCCCTTTTCTTCCCATAGTAAAATTTTAGCCCTTCCTGTTCGTGCCCGTAAACCAGTCCGTTTTTCGCACTGAAAAGAGTGAAGCTTTCAAAGCTCTCGAAACACTGAACAACTAGTTCAGGATCCGACTGACAAAAAGTTTTGGTTGGGTTTTGTTTGTATCTCGCAAACGGAGCGTGAGTGTGGTGCATGTCGGAGTCAATACGGGTTTTACGATTAGTCGGCGATATTGCTGTCTTCGCATGCTGTGGTATGTTATTATAGTATTCTTGTACCCTGCGGACAGGCAATTTTCATACTTTTTATTTGTGCAGGCGTTCCACTCATCATAATCGAACTATTTGCCAAACCTTACAAGAGAGGATTTTACTGCGATGACGAGAGTATTCGCTATCCATATCTTAAGGATACGGTGTCAACAGCGGTTCTTGGCGCCGGTGGTATAGCAATCGGGTTGGTCACTGTAAGTTAACTTCAGGTCAATTTTTTATTTTCTTATTTAGCAGAATCGTCATCTTTTTATTTCGATTCCAGTGGGAAAGTTTTTTAAAAGAAATTGACACGTTGTTTTTTTTAGTAAAGAAAAGGGAATTTTGTAAGAATATTGATACATTTAGGTCAGAACATCAGTCTTGCACTCACATTTTTTAAAAAATTCGCATGTTTTTTCAAATTGGACGAACCCTTGTATTAAGATTGAAGTTAGACGGAAAAATCCAGAAGTTCTCAAGTAAATAATTATTATTGTCATTCGTTGCACAAAAATCTGTAGAGTTAAAGCAATTTGTATGATTTTGAATTTCGATGCTAAAAATGCTGAAAGGTCCAACAACTTGTAACTTAATTTGGGCGTAGGACCTTTTTTTTCTAAATAAAATCAACTTTTACTTGTCTGATGTCTCTATGAAGTGCTGTATTTTTCACCTATCTTTGTTTTGGATTTTTTATTTTCCATTGAACACTTATTGAAAAAAAATGATCTGCGTTTGGTGCGAGACTCAAGTTTCAACCTAATGATTGTAAAGACTGATCTTTCATTGTGATAAAGGCAAACACAGCGTTCGCTATACATAATCAATTATTTATCAATAAAAATGGGTCTTGCTTTTGCCAAGTATTTTTCGCAATTGTCGGCACTATTTTTAGCACAAAAATTACTGGACCCACTCTTTGTGTATGTACTGAATTACAGAGAGTATGCCTTTACTTAGCTGCCAAAATAAAAGAAAATATATGTTAGAAATATAGTGGATATTGAGCATGATCAAACGAAATGCAATTCAGATAATCGCTACTGAAGTAATACGATTGATATTGGAGCGAAACTATACGGACGAGTTCCTATCATATCGTTTGTGTTGTTGCGAAATTCATCGGATTTTTGTCCGACTTTACTGCTTTATAGGTAGGCTCAAAGGTAATCTAAAGCTGCTTCCACATTGATAACTAACACAGGTTACTTCCTTCTTGGTTTCATTTTCGAACAGCTTTTGGTCGATATCGGGAAATATACTATTGGACGTCATCGACCACATTTTATGGATGTGTGTCGACCAGATATAGGATATGACACGGTAGAGACCCTAATTTTTACGAAGAAGAAAGGAAAAGAGTAGGAGTGTAAGCTTTCCAGTGTACTTCACCAGAGCAGTACGTCACGAATTTCACCTGCACTGGCGATGATCAACATTTGATAAAGGAATCCAAGTTGTCGTTTTTCTCAGGACATTCAGCTTTCAGTTTTTATGTAGCCTGGTTCTGCTCGGTAAGCAAGTGTATTTTGTTTATTTACTCAAAAAAATGGTCCATACTTTTCAGCTGTACTTACGGGCCCGATTTTATCGACCCGTGTTCTCTCGATTGTTTGTGCCAGCCATCCAGTTTCTACTGCTTGGTTTAGCCGGTTGGGTTGCTCTAACTCGAGTAAGTTGTGAATGAATTCAAAGAAAAAATTTACTGGTTTTTTATTCATTGAAATCTGATAACGACAATAATTCGTGTGAACGTCAAAGTACCAATCTGATGCAAAACAAAAGCATGTTTTTTTGCTACCGCGGCAGAGTAAATAGTGAAGAAAAAACATACTGTAGAGCAAATCAAGCTCATTAAGATGGCGCTGAAGTCCTAGAAAGACTAATCCATATAGACGACCACTGAGTACCCCATCACTGTCAAATTTGCCGCGAAAAGCTGCTTCTGAACTAGCGCTAGCTCAGTTTGGCACTCTCCATGGTTTTCATGCATTCCGCGGGACCATCACGAATCGCGCGTCCAGGTTAGCCAGTGCAGAAATTGTAGAAGACAAGTTTTCCGCCAATTTTCTAAGTTCAACTATGTTTCTACTTTATTTCTTCCTGGATCTGAAAAAAAGGCCTCATCCCGGTTTTTTCGCGCTGTGAGGTGTGCGCGTAATATCAGCACTACGGAAAAGTAAAAGGAATCTGAAGCGGGAGTGTTTTGAGAAAGCCTTTTGGTGAATCAAGTCGCGCTTTCCTACAATCTCAGCTGTCAATTATGTCTTAGCTGGCTACGATAACTGTCACAATGTCACTTATCAGGTCATTTGATGAGATTACTCCACCAACAATAAGCAGCTTACTTTTGCACGACGCAAGAAGATTTAGCGGAACGCTGCCATCAAACAAAAGTCTTGATTGTGTTCTACCATATACTGTATTACGATACTGCCCTATCAAGGGCACTTCAGTGCGAGTTTGGAAGGACACAAAAAGATTACATTTCAAATTGTCAGTGGTAGACGAAAAGCCCCTCTCAGACAATTCAAAGGAACTTCCCAAAACAGGCCAAATTTGCAGCGGTTCCGCAGGACTTTGTTTACTATCACAAAAACGGAAACCCTAAGAATGGGAACTTTCGCGGGTTATAATACAAAGCGCTCCGGAAACTCCGAAAAATGTCAGCGATTTCGCAGCACTTTGGCCTGCCAGAACTTCCGCAGGGTTTCAAATGTGATATCGCTTACGATGTTGCCTCGCCTACAACTAAAGTGCATTGTCGAGCACGTTCCTTAGTGCTCAGGATAGTGAGAGAGTATCGCATTTTATAGAGTAAGGTTAAAATCTTGCTTAGATGTTCTCTTTTGCTGTTGTGGTTCGCATTCTCCGAAACTTCCGCAGCACGTTTACAGGACCTTTCGTAGGTGGCCCCGCAGAATTTTTCGGAGTCGGCGAAAGTTCCGGTCGTTTGTTGAGCTAGTGCAGCAAACTCGTAGCGAACAAAGGATTAAACTAAAATTTTGTGCAACCTGTAAAGCATTTAATTAATGATTCTTGGTCATATTTAATACCTACTTTTGTAGGTATCAGATTACAAACACCATTGGTCAGACGTCTTAGTAGGAACAATAATTGGAAGTGTAGTGGGAATACTTATGGTGAGTTTACTTCATTGAGTTTAATTTACTGAACATGGTTTACAGGCACTCCATGTGGCAGAAGTTTTTGATCGCAGAGAAGTCCCTTCTTCTTACTCGCCGAGAAAGTTTGGAGTGGTCTCAGTATAATTGTTTTTGTTGGGGTTGTTGACATGACGAACTGCTCTAGTCCAGCAATGTATAAATTAATTTCAATTAACAAGTTGCGCAACGTTGTGGAAAATGGTCAGATTAACAAATATAATATTGTAATTTGGTTGCCCTTTTTTCTTGAAACCTCGATGTGTCTTATGCTTATGTTAATCTTGCTATGTCAGAACAGAGTTTGGTGAAGCCTTCTATTAGTGCGGCTTTACGGGTTTATCGTCGTCTTCAGAGGCCTAAAGTGGTGCGAGATTTAGATCTTATGCTTGCTAGTTGCGTCCTCTCCTTTGATTTCACAAGCAAAATACGCATAAAGAGGAAGACGAACCAACCTCAGCGCCGCTTAGCCGTAAGATGATAGGGCATTTGGTGGAATAAGCATAATCTAAATCTTGCACCACCTTAGGCCTCAGAGTACGATGATAAGTCGAAACGTAAGGCCGCGCTAATAAAAGGCTTCATCAAACCTTGTACTGGAATATTATAATATTGTAAGTTTTTTGTTGTTTCTGTATTTTGACATTTCGAGAATTGCTCAAAAACAGAGCTGCTCCTTTCTAAGCATTTGTGTAGCTGCTTACTTTGTTTGCTTGAAAGAACCGTCATTTCAAATAAACACATCTGAACCTTATAACGAAACTCAGTCACGTCTTTAAAGGCACCGCCCACGTAAGTTGAGGTCTTGATCTTTTGGCAGCATGTGATAGTTGGGCCCTTCATTGCCCAAGTCGCGGAGCAAAATGTCGCTTCGGAAGCGAGAAAATCACTCCGGAATAACGAAGGTGCACGAGGACCCCTAGATGGAACCGCTCTCCCCATTCATGCCCGCCGGATAGAGGAACGAACACCTCCATTAGGGTCCGCCTCCGCGGCTGCTGGTCTTTTCCTACTGTTATGCATCGTGTTAGGATCAGTAGATGGAGATGCCTAATTGAGATGTTCGTTTCCCTACCCGTGCGCGCCCATCCTATCGCCGTTCCGGTAAACCGGCTTACGGGCCTTCCAGAAAGGAGATTTTTATTTATTTATTTATTTATTTATCTATTTTCGTGCACAAGTTGTGCGCTACAGAAATCATTATGATGGTCAACTCAACAATATGGTTAGTACCATGGATAACCATTGACACACTCTACCACATAGTATATAACAAATATCAACAGGCAGCTTTCTTCTTCAAGGGTCATCCGTACAGTGTAGTAGTATTTACGCAAATATGTAGTAGTTGCACACCAGTCGGCCGGGTATATGTCAAGATGAACGATAGCTGGTACCAGTGGCGCGCGAGGTCATGAACTGGCAATAACGCGTTCGCTCGAAGCTCCGCCCTACTCGGCGGACGAGTTTCTCGGACGATACCGTCAAGTAAAATAACATTTGATAGTGAGATATAAGCTTGTTGCAAGATGGGGTGAAGCTTAACTATTTACAGAAACTTGTTTTGATTTTTTGTTCCTTTTTTGTTAATCAATGAACAGCTGATGAGTTCGTCGTGAAATTCGAGAGATTTGCTGATTTACATATGATTGACCGAGTGACTCTTGGATATCCAACTTTGAAGTGTGAAATCAATCTATAACACCTCAGGCATGATTGTCTGAGTGACCTCACATCTTACGACTAGTTCACACGCAATTTCGATTGAGTTACAGATCGATTTATATTGAAGATAGCTGTTTTTGGAAACATAATAAAAAAATTTTGTTATTTATAGCAGATTCGAAAATATATAAGTGCATTATGATTTTCCTGAAATCTGAGAAAATTTATGTGATATGACCGCTACTTGTAAAACGACTTAGTTCGCTTGAAACAGAATTCGCCTATAGTTTGTTTTGAATTTTCTGGCAATGAAATTTGTTTTTAGCTATGATTAGGGTTTCAATACTTACTTTTCCGATAAAGTGATAATGGTTGGTCATTTCAGCAATAATAATAGTATTTCTCGATAAGCTGACTTCTTTTTGAACTAAACTAATGCACAACAAAGCATATTCAATATGGTAACAAATGTGAATAGAGAAAAACGCTTTTCCAAGCATTTTCGAAACAATTTCCTCATAGCTGCAATGAAAAATCTTTTGGAAAAGCCTACTAGGAACAAATAATTGAAATACATCAGAAAGAGCTTGCGAACTAATTTTATAATGAAAAATGATCTGGAAACTGATTTTCAATTTAACTGAAATCTTGAAATCTGCTGTTATCCAAATTGCAACCAACTGAAGAAGCATGAACGAAGTAATAGAGAGTTTTCCAATAGCTGCAATGCATTCCTCGACTAATTATCAAGGGGGCGGAGCGATCAGCGCACCGCGTACGGTACCCAGCTGGCGGCTGGCACATGCTATCGTTCATCTTGACCGCCACCCCAGTCGGCCGAGTGTGCATCGGTGCGCCCGACACCGAAAGGTATGTCCGGAACCTTCGGATTGACAGGTATACCGACTGAACCCTGTTGAACCGGGCTTACCGTAGATTAACTCTCTTTGCATTTAGAATTATAAGTAATGCCACTAACGTCACAGTGCAAGCTGACCATAAAAAGGAAGGAAAACAAAAGCGCCAGTAAGTGGTAGAGATGCGTCTCAAGTCAAGGAAAAAAATCTAATATCATTGCAAATCTTCTATTTCTAGTAGATTAAAAAGATAGATACTAATTAGGTATTTTTTGAACTTGACCGTATCCAGGCACAGAACATCAACGGGGGACGATTGATCAAACGAGATACACGGCTAGCAAACCAAATCTGAAGTAGTTGTTTACGCCATCCCTTGCATCTGGAAACACAAACGTTTAGAATTAATCTCCGATTTTGGTAGGGACGGAATGTCCAAAAGTCCGAGAATTTTAAACGAACCTTCTGCTTTGAAATTATGTGAGCTAATAGGGTGTCAGCTAGAATACGTCTATGGTATAAGGTTTGGAGACCAAGACTAGCCAGCCTGTGTTTATACAGAGAGGGCTTTGGGATACTCCTTGTTTGGGAATATGCGATAGTATAATATTCGAGTGATCATACGTTGCACTTTTTCAAGCCTGTAAATATCTTTTTTCAAACTAGGATTTTAGATAGGACTATCATATTCCAGAATGGGTAAGATGTAGGTTTTGTGCAATCTTACCCAGACTGTTTTGTCTAAGGAATGAACATTCCTAAACAAGGAGTAAATGGCACGCGTAGCCTTTGCAACTATGTTATCAATCTGAGCCGAGTTTCTATAAGAAGACTCTATTATCACACCTAAATCACGAACTTTCTGCTGAACTTTTGAAGGGATTCCATAATCAAATTCAATAGTGTTTTTCCCAATTTCAGTATCTGGATTTTCGATAGATTAACTCTTAGTCCCCAACTCTCACACCATCTCAGCATTTGATGCACCGATAACCTCAATTTATCAATTATTTCGCGTTCATCTGCGCATAACAGCGTAGATCTTTAGATCATCCGCATACGCTGCAACACTGATCCGAGTATCAGTTTTCAAAAGCTATGGAAGTTCCATTGTATTTATTAAAAAGTAACAGAGACAATGCACTTCCATGCGGTACACCCGAGGGCGAAAACCTTATTGAAGAGCATTGGCCTTGGAACAAGACCGATAATCTCCGATTTGAGAGATACGGTTCAAACCATGCCAAAAGGTTGCCTCTGATTCCAATACTTTCGAGTTTAGCCAAGAGATTCGAATGATTTACAGAATTAAATGCTTTAGTGAGGTCAAAATATATTTTGATTTCGACTGATTTTCCGCTGCTCAGAGCCTTGACCCAGTCTTGGCAAGATTTTGTTATTGAGTAGTCGTAGAAGATCCCGGAATAAATCCATGTTGTTCATCAGGAAAGTATTATAATTTAATTCAACGCACCAGTTCAAAATCGATCGAGCAAGAATTTTTTCCATTATCTTACACGGAGTTGGCAAGATACTAATGGGTCTGAATTCCGAGACTTCATCTGCACCCGCTCGCTTAGGTATTGGAACAAAAACAGCCTTTTTCCATAAACTTGGTACTGTGCCAGTCATATTGAATATCGACATATTGAATCTATGCGCTAGAGGGACACTAAGCGCCTCAGCACAGTGTTTGTAGAAAAAAGCTGGTATGTTTTCTGACGTCAGAGACAATGATGGCTTGGTACATTTAATAGCTTATGCACCATATTATATCTGATCATAGGGATGCGTAAGCTCTGATCAGATTGTAAGTCCAAAACACAATGCTGCAGTCTACAATCAGCAAAGGATTAAACAAAAAAATTGAAATAAGCTTCTGCTTTATCAGCAGCCGAGAGTAGAAAACTTGTTCATTTTCATCTTTGATTGTAGATCCAATTCTATATTAGCAATGCGGCATTTTGATGAAGCCAAAGAGATCGCACATGTTGGACTCTGTCATCTTGCGCTGCTTATAATTCAAAAAACGACGCAAATGACGATTTAAGCTGCAACAAGTCAGTTTATATTGATCACACTGTAGTGGCTGCGTGACTTCATTGAAAAGCCGTTTTCGGGGGGGGGGGTGTTTGCGGATTCTTAACTTCATATTTGGAATCAGGGACATGAGAAGCCCCTGGAACGACAAAAAGATGGAACCCGAAATCTGCGTGGAAGGTACCTTCAAGGGAATGTACAGATAGCATAGTTTGATTTGACATCACCGATAGTCGTGCGAAAGCATTGCGTAATTCTGGAATTATGATAGTCTTTGTGTTCATATCTGTTTTGACCTTTTCAAGGGTTGTGTTGCAATATGTACGTCATTTCACTTCAAAAGCTATGTCGTAGGCGGTGAATATGATATTTATTAAGATAAGAAAGGAATCTTAAACTTTGAAGGGGTTCGAGTGGTTATAGATTCTTCTAGATAGCCATGCGCTTGCAAAAAATAACCATATTAAGTCGGACCCGTCTGATTATTACTATTACGTATTCATACTAAGTTGATCTGTTTTTCTCAAACCGAGAGGTTAGTTGATAATAGACCATTTTGACTGTCCGAATTTGCGTACAGAGCTGATTTGCAACTCAAAAAAAGACGACATTATCGTTTCTCTTTTGATAACCGTATACCTAACTCGCTAAATTATTAAGGTCTAAGTGGATGTCTAAAATTTCATAGTCTAATGGGAAGCTTATAGGTGCTGTTCGGGCTCTATTGCATTCAGCATGTCAATTTACGACGAGGCAGATGTGGCCCTTTATTGGTACTTATAAAGGTTTTTACTAGAAATAAACTGGAGTATCTGGCCTTGCTCAGCCGTGAACACTCCGCCTCGCTTCCGCGTATCATATCCTCCTCACTTCCGCATGTTATATCCCTGTCCCAAATTTCTATGCTAGATCTCTGCCCTCATTGTGCTTTCGCACTCACCATGCCAATTTACCAGTCTGGTTCAGGCTCAAGTTTATTGGTAAATTCGATAAAGGCGGTCGATAATTCCAAAGATTATTATTGTGTCCGTATTGAGCATCCCCAGCTGTACCAAATTCCACCCCACAATCAAAGTTTGCGAAACAATGGAAATGATTTTTCGATATCTATCGATATCACTGTAATCGTAATCATCATGCTCACCAAAATACCTAAAATACCTTTGTGCCAATCCCCAACTCCGTAGCTCAAAGC